GACTACTGGGAGGTGGTAAAACTGTAGGCAGGTGGGGTGTGGCTGGAGGAAGTAAGGCACTGAGGGGCATACTCTTGGGGACTATATTTTGTCCCTGGGACCTCTTCTCTCTCCTTCTCTTCTCTCTCTCTGGCTTCCATGAGCTGAGAAGTTTTCCTTTACCATGCCCTTCCACCACCATGATGTTCTGCCTCCCCTCGGGACCAAAGCAATGGAGCCTACTGACCACGAACTGAGACCTCTGAAACCATGAGACAAGTTTGTTTGTTTGTTTGCTCAGGTGTTTTCAAAGCAATGAAAAGCCGATTAACACAACCAAATAGCATCACAAAGTAGGGTTACATCATTCTGTAACCAGTAAACTTGAACATTGGAGGGAACTTCAAAGATCAGTTGGCCCACCTCAATTTCACGATATGCATAAGATCAAGGGATGCCAAATGTTCCACCCAAGATCACATAGAACGAGTTTCCTGATATCTGTAAGTACAGACTTCCTTTCTCCCACTCCACTATGGGGCTGTGGAATTTCAGATACTACTTTCAAGTGAGGAGTCTCTCCTTTCTTATTGAAATTTTGGTATTGTTTCTCAACCTTCTGCCAGTGATATTAGAACTTGGCTACTTAAGAACAATTTTCCTGTTACATGAATTGCTTTTGAAAGTGACCTGAATGTGAAGTACTATTTTTAGCCTTTTAAAAATACATTTTTCCTCCCATGTACAGTTATAGTTCTCTTCTCTATTGTCAAAATCCCCCAACCCCAATGGGGCATGTTTTTTTTTTTTTTTCTGCTTTGACCTACTCAATTCCTCAATTTCCTATTGGAAAAATACCAAAACACATTGTTTTAAGGGATATTACTTATTGAATTTTCTGAAGAGTCAAGCACAGGTTTTGTTAATGTTTACTCAGATGAAAGAACTAAAGTTTGTAAAGCCAAGGAATCATGTTTGTCTTTCGATGAATGCACATAATTTCAATTAGTGTTATTCTCATCTTATGCAAGAGATTAATTTTGAGAGAACGAAGAGTATAGTGGAGGAAGGGAAGAAAAAGAATCATTTTCTCTCCCAAACTGCATCTTTGTGCTTTCATGAAGTGCATTCTTCTTTTTCGGGGAGGGGAGTACAGGGATTGAACTCAGGGGCACTCACCCACTGAGCATAATCCCCGGCCTTATTTTTGTATTTTATTTAGAGACAGGGTCTTACTGAGTTGCTTAGCGCCTTGCTTTTGCTGAGGCTGGCTTTGAACTCTTGATCCTTCTGCCTCAGCCTCCTGAGCCTCTAGGATTACAGGCCTGCGCCACTGCACCAGGCCTGAGGTGCATTTTCCGATGATCATTGCTCATGCTTACGCCAGGAGGCTGATCCCGGATCGCAGGAAGCACATTCTAGAGGTCCAGTTGGATAGAGAAATCCATGAGACACTGTGTCAAGAAGCATCTGGACTCAAGGGACATTTGCCCAAAATGCCAGTGGAGGCTGAGCACATGCCTCGCAAGTGCTGTTCCTAGGTCTGGATTTTCATTTTCCTGATTTCCCAAGAACAGGACCTCTATCATGTGCTAGTCTCTCTCTGATATTTTGATATACCTTATAGTTTTTTATTACTTTAATAAAGAGATTGACCTAGCATATGCTATCTATAGGTACAAGTCACATGATGGTGTGTGAGAAGGCTTACTAGTATGACTCCTCTGAGGACATGTTGCATGGTGACATGCAGGGAGTGCCATACCACCTATGCTTCTGCTTAACAGGGAATCATTGCAAGTCATACTCCAAATAGAGAATTTCCTTTTCTGTCAAAGGAAATTGAATATATTCTTCTCCATTCTAGCCGAGTGGCAGAGAACACAGGCATAGTACACAGAAACAGCTGGCAAAAATATAGCTCAGGGCCCAACAGACCCATAGAGAGAAAAGCTCCAGGAAGGTGAACAAGTAGCTGTGTTGTGCTCGACACCTTAGAAGTACAGCAGATAGGGCAATCCTTAGTGTCAACCAGAGCAAGTTGCATAAACAGACTGAGTAATATACTTAATATGAAAAGGCGCTCAGTCAACACAGATTAGCCCGTAACAGAGAGGATTTTCACATAGGTTTGAATGTCTCTCTCAAAAGTTCATATGTTAGGAACTTAATCACCAAATTCATGTGTTGATGGTATTTGGGGGTGGACCTTGGGGACATAATGGAGGAGTGATGAGGTCATGAGGGTGGGACCCTATGATGGCATTAGTGGCTTTAATAAGAAGAGGAAGAAAGACCTGGGCTAATAGGCTGTCCTGCTCTAGGCACCTGATGCTCACTTACATGTGAGGATTCAGCAAGAAGGTACTCATTGGATGCCAGTACCTTGATATCACACTTCCCAGCCTCCAGAACTGCAAGAAATAAATTTCTTCTTTTTAAAATAAACAATTCCAGGGGCTGGGATTGTGGCTCAGCGGTAGAGCGTTTGCCTAGCACCTTTGAGGCCCTGGGTTCGATCCTCAGCACCACATAAAATAATTAAATAAAATAAAGATATTGTGTCCAACTACAACTAAAAAATAAATATTAAAAAAATAAATGATTTCTTCTGTGGTATTCTGTTATTACAGTAGAAAGTGGACTGACAGAGTCAGAATTTCTCTGCATAATGATTATAAGAGTTACAAAACAGCTTTTCCTTCTTGCTTCTAAAGAAGATCCTGCTGCCCAAAGGGCTCTGATCAGGATGGAGGTGGAAGGTGGTGAAGGAGTGGAGAGCTAAAGGGATTTTCTCTGGCTAGGGAGCAAATCCAAGTGACAAGATAGAGGCACAGATGCAGAAAGGAGGCTGGTCTCCCTCTTGTCTCCCAGTAAAAATGAAAAACCACTTTACAGAGTCTGCTTGGGTGCAGGAGCTAAGTTTGGATAGAATTTGGGGGAAGATTAGATTTAGGAGAGGCAGGACAGCTACTGGTGTGTGTGAGCTGTATGTGGAAGCAGAGAGGAAACGAGTTCTCATCCTACCTTTTGCATTCTTTGAATGATTCCAGTCAAGATGTAAACTACTTGATCATTAATGTTAAAATTCAGACTGAATTTTTACCTTCATGAGGTCAAAAGGTGGCCAAGATTTATAGGATTCATGTGTAAATCTAAGCTTCCACTGAAAGATCAGGAAACTGTGTTCTTCTCATTTAAAATTCTGCTATTATCATAAAAGCCTTGATTAGAGAAACTTCCAGATAGTTTAATAAATGGATAAATAGATAATGGATAACTGGACAGCTATGTCCCATATCTAAGGGACAAAGGCTAGAGGGAGGCACATTTCTGTACTCTGAATGCAAGCAGCACTTAAAGGCTGTGGGCTGTGGGTAGGAGGGCCCTCACCCATCACGTCACTGTCCTTGTTACAGTTTGACCCAAGTTCCATGATGACACATCCTACCACTTCTAATTAATCACACGACTTAGTGAAGTTTCTTAATTTGTTGACTTAAACTTAATGGCAAAACTACAAAAAAATAATACCACTTATCTCACAAGGTGACTGAATGACATCCTCTCTACAGGACACCTAGTACAGTGCTTGGCATATAGTTACTTTTTATTTTTAACAAAATTTACTTCATACTGTCCCTATTCTTGGTATCATTAGTGTTTTTTCCACTAATGACAAGACTAGGTTTTTGGTTAAGTTTGAAAATGGGACCTAAACTTGAAAACACATCTCCTCTGCTTTCCTTATATTCACAGATGATTCCTGTAGAATTATGGGTATGTTTTCTCAAAGATTTGTTATCTTTTCTGGCTTTTTCTTTAACACCTTTCATTATTCAAGTCTCCTAGACACTTTGGAGTTTGGGCCCCTTCTCTTATACCCCAAAAGGAGAGGGCTGTTGATCACTTCAGTGAGTGCCTTCCCTGTTTTGTGTGAGACCCGCCTTTGACACACCTAACTTACATTATCATTATCAGTACATTGTCATGTCTGCCTTACTTGATCATAATTGACTGCAGAGGCAGGAAAAACTTTATTCACCTTCAAAATACCTATGCATCTGTGCCTGCTTTTGTGATAAGTATTAGTAAGTATTTTAAAGTGAATGAGTAAAGATAATAAACCACAAGATTATTTACCATTTGCAATGTCCTTTGTTAAACAAGACAATTGTATGTTGAAACTCTAAATGCTTGTCCTTTGGGTGTTCCAGCTCTTTACAGATTGGGGTGTCAGGCCCCAGGCACACTACAATTTCCATGGCTTCCTCTCTCTCAGGTGTAGCTACCTCTGACAGAGAGGGCAGGTTCTGTCCTGCTAAAGACCTAAAAGCAAAGTTCTGTCCTTTCTTCTGTTTTACACAGGAAGCCATTCATATGCTGTATTCCTTTTACCTTTTAGTTTTTATACATAGTTGAGAGAGATATTCCTCTCACTCTGTGACTTTCTACCATGTTGGGACACTTGTAAAGTCTCCCTAGCATCACAGGTGTGCCTGCTGGGCTCAGGCCCTGGGGAGCATAGCCAGGCCCTGGGTCCACACAGGCCCAGTCAAGCATTGCAGATAGGTACAGTCTCCTACCCATAGCACACAGCCTTGAAGTGGTGCTTGCATTCAGACTGTACATCAGGTGCAGTCTATTCACAAACCCAGAGCATTAAAATCAGGATTCCAGGACCTTAAGTCTTGCAAATTAATTTTAGCCATTACCTTTGTAAATATAATCAAAATCAGTGATGTCTTTTGAGTATTTTCCATTAGTAGTAAACCACAGGTCCCCCCTCTCCCATGGCAGGAACAGTCCCTTCTCACCAGCACTAACATATGATGTACGTTCCATCACATTGCATGAGTGATGGCCTCGATGCCAGTGGTAGGTTGCATTGCACGTCATTCATATTCTACAAACAATTCATTAATAATTCTGGTTTCAACATCTTGGGAGTGAGCCCCCCCCCTCCTGTTTTCTTTCATACAGTGATAGACTGAAGTGTTCGAGAGTGTCCAACACCATACCTGCTTGTGGCGTCCAGAAATCCAGTAACACCAGAGCGTTGGGGCCAGTCAAGCTCATTGGTAATTGCCATTGGCAAACTGAAGAACGAATTCTAAAGAAAAATAATAATCAATTAGAAATTATCCAAATGGCCATTTGTTTTTCTACAGGTAGAAAGTCTATCTATGTCCTGAGCATTGTTGCGTGGCTATCTTTCTGTCTCTCCCTCTCTTTAAGAGCCTTTGGCTTCTGAGGCAGATGACTCAACTCTGACCTTCACCTGAGAGTTCACAATGATTAGCATCACCCACGAACTAACTGGCTTTCAGTCAGTTCCTGTGAAACACATGGAACATAAGGAGTCTTTCTGAGAGGGATGCTTCACTTGACAGGTAAACTTTCCACTCTTAAATTTTCTGAGATTCCCTCATTTTTCAGTTTAGATCATCAGATGATTGCCAGAAAGGTAATTGCCCTTAAAAAATAGTACCCAAGACCCCTGCAAAAATGCCTCTGCTGGGTTTAAACTGTGCAGTTAGTCAATAAGATGGTGCCCCTGCCCATCCTGGCAGCCTCAGACACTTTTGGGAATTGAATGATGGTTTATATCACCATAAAGATGCACCTGAAGTCAGTATGGCCTGTAATTTTGGGAGGTTCACAGACCCCTCTATGGTTTGATTATGGTTTCTCCCCTCTGAAACTCATATTGGGGTTGAATCCCCAGAGCTGGGTATTAAGAGAACAGAAACGTCATCAGGCTATGGGGCTTAGAAGTGGGATTTTTGAAAGATGATTGGATAAGAGCTGTGTGATGGGATACTGTTGGTTTTATAAGAAAAGGAGAGATTGTGTGTTCTCTGTCTCTCACCAGGGGATGCCCTGCACTCCCTTAGGAATCTCTGCAAGAAGAATGACATCAGTAATCCTGGATCTCCAGAACCGTGAGCCAAAATAATCTTCTTTCTTTTTAACTTACTAAATCTGTGGAATTGTGTTATAAGCAACAGCAAATAGACTAATGAATAGCCCCTGCAACTAGTGTACAGTGACAAGAACCCCTGACTTGGAGTGTTGACAACAATAGGATTCATTTAAGTCACATTTCTATGGCTGGTGCAAAAACCACAGGAGAAAAATGTGGCCAGCTATGACTTCTTATTGTTCCTTTTATAAGTGCCCTCTGGGACAAATCCCTACTGTGCTCTAATTTTTTTTTTTTTTTTGAAAAAGCGTATCTACTGGTATGTTTGGAATAGCTTTGTTAGATTTAGTAAATCTAACAAGCACAGGTTGCTCAGTTAAATTTTAATTTCTGGCAAACAATGAATAGTATATGTATGTCTCATACAGTTGTTGGGACATAGTTATACTAAAAAGTTTATCAGTTGCTTATCTAAAATTCAAAATGAACTGGTTGGTCTGAGTTTTATTGGGGAATCTTACTTTGGTTAGAAACCCTAAAAGTCAATATTTCCTTTTAGTCTTGACTAACAGGAAAACTGCCTCTTTCAGTATTTAAATCCTGTCTCTTTTTTTGAGGTAAACATGAAAACCTGAAGTCCTCCTTTAATGATAATTTAAGACTTAAGACAAATCACAGACTCCTGTCTCCTGCCATTTTTCCACATTCATGATGGTTCTCCCTATGTCCTACAGAGACGGATTGCCAAGGAAAAGTTAAGCCCCTTGAAAAATGCCTCTTTTTAGTTCTTTCTGATGACAAAGAAGTACATGCCTGTTATAAAAACTCAAATATTCCACATGCCTATAATCTCAGAGGCTTGGGAGGCTGAGGCAGGAGGATGGTGAGTTCAAAGCCAGCTTTAGCAAAAGTGAGGCGCTAAGCAACTCAATGAGACCCTGTCTCTAAATAAAATATAAAATAGGGCTGGGGATGTGGCTCAGTGGGTGAGTGCCCCTGAGTTCGATCCCTTGTCCCCCCTCTAAAACCTCAAATATTATGATAAATTACAATATAGAAATACAAAAAGGACAATATAGGAAGCCCTTCATTGCCATTCCCAAGAGGATAGATAGTGTGAGATAGATACTGTTAAGGGTGTGTCCCATATATACAGTATGTATAAAATAAAATCTACCATAATCTTACACTACCATAATCTTTACACTTGGAAAAACTCAAGCAATCTTCCTACCATAAGAGTGTTAGAGAATTAGGACTCCAAATAAATAAAATAAAAATGTTTACTTCTCAATTGTGGACTGTTATGGGTTGAATTTTGTCCCCTCTCCCCTAAAGATATATTGAAGTCCTAAGTACCAGTACCTTGGAATATGACCTTATTTGGAAATAAGGTCATTGCAGATATAATTGGTTAAGGCGAGGTCAATCTGGAATAGGATAGGCCCCTAACCCCAGCTGACTGGTCCTTATAAGAAGAGGAAGAAACACTGAAATGAAGATACAGGGCCGGCCACATGTTGGTAGAGGCAGAGATTGGAGCCACATTCTGGGAAGCTTCACCAGGAGCTGAAGAGGGACGGAGCAGATTCTCACTCAGACCCCTCGGAGGAACCAACACTGCTACAATCCTGGTTTGGATTTGTAGCCTCCAGAATGCAGAGACAATAAGGTTGTTTGTTTGTTTGTTTTTGTTGTTGTTGTTTGCAGCCACCCAGATGGTGGTACTTTGTTAAGGGGGTCCAAGGAGACCAACACATGACCTGAGTTGGACAAGTCACTTCTAATTCTTATTATTCAGGGAACTAAGATTTGATTACCTTGTCAAAATAAATCATAGGACATATACATGTGTTCCAATGCAGCAGTTATCTATAATGCCTGCGAGACCTCATGGCTCCTCCTTCCTCGCTTGACTCCTTCCACGTGTGGAAATTTTCATCCTTATCATTCCCCAAAGTATGATTCCCAGTGGGGGCTGGAAGCAAGAAGGGGTGGTCAGGAAGGAGGGTTTCCCAGGAGATATTGTCATAAAATGTGACTTCTCCCCTCCAAAGGAGAGGAGCAAACTCATTGAAAGGAGGCTCTCAAGTGATTTCAGAAGTCCCTGGAGACCCCGTGACTGTGACTTTCACTCCTCAAGAGTTTGGCACCCACCACTTTCTGCTCAAAACTCCACCTCATTGCTGTGGCTCAGCCTCTCTCTGTTCTGGCTCCTGCTTTTCCTGCCACTTCCCCTGCCCTTTATCTTATTCCTCCACCCATCTTTCTGCTTACAGTGTGTGTTTGCTGTAGGAATAAAGAATATTCAATTCTGCTACAGAAGACAAGAAAAACAAATAGAATGGATAAAACTTATAAGCTGTGTTAGGCAGAGATAGTGAGTAAGCAAGAGGATTGCGAGGTGTAGGCAGAATTTATGAGCTGTATCAGGTCAGCCAGTAACCTGTAAAACATGTTAAAAGTTAAGAGAACAATACACTCCTTCCCCACCCCACTCTTTTACCTCCTTCTCTGTTGTCTGCACAGTGATTGGTGCCTAAAGATTTGGAAACCAGACATGGAACTAGGGTTCTGAATCTGGATGGGATTGTTCTCCCTTCTACAGGAGGAGGATAGATAAGAACTCTGCTGGCATAGGGAGGCATGTCTAATTTCCTCTGTAGCCTGAAATATTAGTGATATTTGTGGTAGTTCTGAAATGTGCCAGTAAAGTAGGGAAAGGAATCAGATCTGTTCTCCATGTTGGACTCTTTAAATACAGTAAAACTCATAATTAGGACACAGTGACATTGGACATGGGCTCTATTCTCCATGCAGCTCCCATTCTCAGTCAGGAGAGTGATAAAGTTCTTTTCTCCGTTGGGGGAGAGAAGATATTGAGGGGTAGGGAAAGTGAGGAAATGGCAGGTAACTGTCTTTGAAATTGCCTCCAGTGTTTTCTCAACTCAATCCCTCTGAAGGAAATGGATCTTAACTAGCTGGGAGATTCCTGAAAGCCTCGCTACGATCTGGGAATTCTCAGTCAGTGCTGGAAGCATCCCTGGGGTAAGATTTAAACTGTACTGGACAGCGGCTGGTGCTGAATCGCAGCTGGGCCTGGGGTGAGTTTGCATTCTGCAGCTGTAGCCCTGGAAGGCCTGAGCAGGCCAGCTGGATAGGTTTATCCTGCTGATTTGATTAACTTCAAAATAAGGCAAAGCTGTGTTTTCCTGATTGAATGTCTTAGACTTCTTACAGTGTCATGGTGAGGTTTTAGTGTTTCTAACTGTGCATATCAGGGGAGAGGTAGCTTTATCAGTATTCTTTGTCTTAGTATCTCTGATGACTAGAGGAATATTACCTTATTTACTTCAACAGCACTGTTGGGAAAATCAAAAGACGTAGTCAGCAATGGATTGACAAGTCAGAAGCCCTGTACTATGAAAAGGATTGAGGTTAAGATGGAGCACCTGGTGTTCCTTTCCAAAAGGATTGTCCCCTGTTTAAGTGTAGTATAGTTTATGATCAGATAACAGAAAAGATTTGAGCAGACCAATGGCAGCCTTGATATATTTTTTCTTTGTTAGTAAAATCAGTAGATAATAATGAAAAGTAACAGCCACTAATAGCAAATGTTTTTAGAGCCTAACCAAATAAATAGATAAATGAATAAATATTAAAAAAGAAAAAGAAAAGAATGTTTAAGTCACATTAAACACTAAAAGCCTTATTCACGCAACATTATACCCAAGATATTTCAGGCATTTAAGGCAGGAAAAATGCAAATTAAGACTTCCCTGATCAACTCCTACTTATTGCTCTTGAGCATTCATGTTCTTAGGAACTCATCTTAAATGTACATATGTGGAAAGATTTAATATTTACCTAGAAAAATCTTCCAAGCTTAAAGAGCCTAAGCAACCCAAAGAGGGTGAGGTCAACTATTGAATTGCTCCCAATTTTTCCACTTTTATCAATGTCATAAATGTGTTTTTATGTTACCATCAGCACATATACGCTATTTTGTGTAATATTTTCCTTTAATATTGCTCTGTGTATGTGTGTATGTATTTCCATGCATTGAGAAAAATCCACTGTGTCTTTCTCTCTCTTTCTCTCTCTCAGAAAACAGATTTATTTTTCAGTCCCATGGCTGCAAAGTCCAAGTTTGAGGGGCCCACATCTAGTTAGAGCCTTCTTGCTGT